GTGTGTGTGTGTGTGTGTGTGTGTGTGTGTGTGTGTGTGTGTGGGTCTGGTAGATCCATCTGAAGCTTTATTTCCCCAGCCTCTCTCGGCTCCACACAAAATGCAGCGATCTAATCAATACTGATTCGTCCTCTGGCTTTGGAAAAAACCCAGCTGGGACGGTCCGGACGAGGAGTAACTGTCCTTGAAAATAAACAATCACTTGCACAAGTGGCCGTGCAGCAAACATGACTTGTATGTATTTTTGCATTAAACCCGCTACCAACCTTTGGCAACGTTTCACATTTTGGGGCCTTTTGGCTGTAATGTTTTAATTGAGCTTTCATTTCTAGATGAGAGGCCCAACGTTCAGACCTGTAGGAGCGGAAAGAACCGGAGATGAAACAGTCCTCTGACCTAAGAGTGACGTTTTACCTAAAGGGTGATTTTTTTCTTCTGCTTCTTTCAGTGAAAGCAAGTGGAGAGGAAACAAAGTGATTCAGTGAGACGCCGCAATGTGAATTACTTTTCATAGCTGCCTATAATGGAGGAAAATGGGAGAAGCAGCGGTGCCGACTAGAGCGGGAAGGTCAGTGCAACACGGTGCCGCCTGGAGGGGGAGGGTTGAAGAGTTGAGGCCGGGTGAGGCATAGGGAGGGGGGAGGGAGTCAGTGGGCACGATGTGATTTTTGCATACAGAAGAGGGAAATGTGTTTAGTCAGGACGTAAAGTGCTGATTACTTTTTCATGCCGTTACAAAACACATGACACACACACACATAAATCTATCCAACGCTGTTTATTTATTTTTTTGGGACTTGACAAATGACGACTTGAGACTGGAGTACATGTGAAATGTTTCTCTTTTTTCATCCTCTCAACAACAATTAGAAATATGCCGACTGGCACAGCACTGAAACTCAGAGACATTGTTGTTCTTGTCGTGTGAACAGTTTTAAAATCCAACATGGTGAACACTGAGGGGTGAAATAAAAAGAAGCTCTGGCTTCATTTAACAGTCCAGCTCGTGTGTCGACAGCGATTACTGTATGTTTGGAAATTTGTTGGTGAATTCAAGTTATTGATTTCTTGCTGGTGATCAATATTTTGGCTGAAGTAATATAAAGCACATGCCTCCCTAAAAATCCATGGAACTAATTGAAGGTAGGACGAGGCGATAGAATGTAAATCTTATTTCTTCACGTCCAATTTACGATTTGATGGTTTTTTTCTGAAAAGCAAAGTCGGCTCACAGAAGAAAAGAGAATTATGAACTTTCACCAAACTTCGCTTTTTAAGGAATAAATAACAGACACACACACACACACTAAATAAATGTGTGTTATTTGTGCTTGTGTTCTTCTCTTCGTGGTTAAAGACCTTTACAGACATTTTTAGTGGGATTTTTAGCCAGAGTTTGCTGAACAATCGATTTATCTCCCAGCTCTAGTTAAAGGTAAGACTTGGCCGCTAATGTTGACAGACTTGAGTCAGCTTTATCTGAGTCTCTACCTCTGTACGGGGGGTTGTAGCTTCTGTATAGAGCAGAATCTTTTTCAATTCTAAAGATGCAGCTCGTAATAAAACATATTATTATTGCTGACAAGCACCTTAAAACCAGTGGTTATTCCAGGCAGCTACAGCGGTCAACATCAACACTACGCTAACTTGATTGGTTGTACATTCATCAATACTATGTAGAGCACAAACACAGGCCTCTAGTTTATAGGAAATAATGCTATTTGATGTTTTCTTGATAACATTTGAGCCCTACTTCTTTTAAGCCCACATAAGCCAGTTTATTAGGTACACCAAGCTAATGTAGCCTCATACAACAGTTCTACAATGGATTCATTTAATGGACATTAATGGTCAATTTGGAGGCTACTTTTTGAGGTGCTGTTGAATTATATTTGGTTATAATGAAAAAAGTTTAAACTACCCTCATAGATATAAATGGGGACAAAATACATTGTAAAAAGTATAATGTGATAGAACTTAACAGCACAACAAACAGCCTCCAAATGGCCAAAAAACTTGCATCGACATCTCCTCGAAGCATTTATCAAAATACACGGACATTACAACCTTTATTGATCACAGAGCTGCTGTATTAGACTGGATTAAGTTTAGCCAGGTGTACTTAATAAAGTAACTGAGTGTGCATCATGTCAACATGTCATACACTGATCATTCTGAAGCATCCTCTGTCTTATTGTAAGCAGAACTTTTCTTCTATATTTAAAATAAAAGAGAAATACATGGACTGTCAAATGAATAGCAAGCTTGAGCACTATTGAAGTAACATGTGGGGGAAAAGACAAAAAACGATGTTTCAGTTAACAGTAACGTGGTGCAATTAAATCACAGGGGAGCTTTGGATCAGGTTCTACTTTATCAACATAGATGGTTATGATGTCATTATTACTCTGAAGTCCTTCTCAACCATCTTCTCAACAGACCTGAGTTTAAATTCTTACAAAGGGTTATCAAAGCATTTCGGGACATTCGGGACCTCCACAGTGGTTCCTCCAGACCAGATCTACCAACACTAACTCTGCATTGAACAGTGACTCACTGCAAGATGAAACACAGCAAATCCCACGAGTGTTGGACAGAGAAACACATCTTTAAATAGCTTAAACTGCTCTTTGCTTTTGTGCATGACCTCCCATTCAAAGTCTGTAACCCAGTCACATGATGTCGGTTTCCTTCAATCAGGCTGCTCAGTAAGAGAACCAAATGATTACAAGAGAGGGAACAGTTCTCATTGGGCTTGTTTTAAATAATGGAGTTGGTTGAGCGCACACCAGGAAAAATAAAATCTAAAATCTGGCACCTTTTATGGGTTGCAGACTACTAAAAGTGATTTTAAAATACCTTTTGACATCGGGAGAACAATGGGAGCATAAGAGTGGATTTTGCTAAACATGGGAGAACCATGGCCCCAAAAAAGAAAGACCGAACATATTCCCCCGAGTGCAATGCTGAAGTATGAAGGCGTGTCGCGCTGTCTTTGAGTGCACGTTGTGGTTCTTTCTCATGCAGCTGCTGGTTGTTGAGACTCTGCTGTTGTTTGCACCACAAACACTATGAATACGTTCTATTATTAGTCCTTCTGTCTCGACACTCTCAGAACTCCGAGGTCACTTCTTTTCTTTGTAGTGACGAGCCTCGTTATCTACGGACAAATAAAACGTTCACTGTTCATATATCTTTTTATAAAATAAATCTTATATTTCCAAGTATACAATAATAAAATGATGCACTCTGCAGAAAAAGATGTAACAGGAAACTCCATATATACACACATAGTATAGTATTTTGGCAGACAAGAACATGGACAAGTTCAGTATTGTAAACAGCTCTTTACTCTCATTCATGACACTTTCGTCCTCTTTTCCTTTCCTTCTTTCGCTTCCTCTGTCTTGTTACATTCATATCTCCAAAAAAATTGTGCTTTAGGAAATCCTTTACAATAATCCAAGGGCTCTTTTCTTTTTTATGTCCCCCCCGGTCCACTGAGTAGAAGTGTCTCTGAACAGTAATGTCTTGAATGATCTCGTGGCCGGTAGTTCACTATGAGAACGGGTGAGAGGAATGAAGGCGGGGCTACAGATGAAGAGGTTCAGGAGCTTTATGCTGGGGGGGGGGGGGTTAGGATCTATGTCTGGCACTTTGATAAAGGTTTGGTATGTGTTCACATGTGCACTTAACGGCGAGGCAGCATCAGATGCACGGCAAATGTTTGGTGCTTCTCCAGCTTCAGTACAGCTCCTAAACATTTGAGAAGACTGCGACGTGAACTTGGGCAGGATGTGTGTGTCCTGGAGTCGTTGTGGCATCTTTATTGATGATTACAAGGCAAGAAGTCTGAGAGGTTACAGCTGTGCTCGGTGATACAGGAATGTACACGATGGAATGTGGAAAAACACTGGTGTGTGTGTGTGTGTGTGTGTGCAGAGCGGTGATGCCAGAGAGGGGTAAAGCAGAGCGGGAGCTTTCGGGTTGTGAGCTCAGGAGGCAGGAAGAGAGTAGAGGTCTGAATATGGGTGACCGGAGCAGATCTGGAGCAGGTCTGTGGGTCTCTAGCTGTCCTCATCGGTGAGCTCCTCCTCCTCCACCGTGGCCTTCTCAGCAATGGCCTCCAGGCTGCGTCTGCTCTTGGACTCGGAGCCGGAGGAGCCGCCCGATGCTCCGCCTTTACTCAGGTTACTGGTGAGAGCAGCGTAGTGGATCTGCTTCAGGTTCTCCTGGACTTCACTCCTGGCGTGCTTCAGCAGGTCTGCCTGACCCTGAGGGAGTAACGATGGATCAAAGAGTCAGAGCAGAGCTCCTAAAAAGTTGCAGCAAAATTACATTTTTTATGGCCTATTGTATTATCATTATTATTGTTTTTAAATAGTCTATACTGTGACTTTTTGTCTGTTTTTAAAGGCATGCTGTAGACCCAGCTGGAGGTGAAACAGACAGTCTCAGAGTAGTGGGCAAAAGTTCCCCTCTAAAGAATGTTATCTTGCTGTGTTGTTGGGAGCCAGAATCAATATTGCATACTTTAGAAATGATAAACTGGATAGTGAAGCTCGCTGGAGCCAAGAATCACAAAGTGTTCCAGAGATGAAGATAACATGTTGCTGATGGTTTAGCTTAGCCTTCCGCTAACCGTCATGGCTGCTGCACCGCATGCAGAAAGGCTGAACTATTAGAGGGACGAAGAAGTGACTCATCCTGTGCAAGCCAAGCAGCCTGCTGCAGAAAACAATCTGGACAAAGTTGTCATGTAGCGGCTGGCTAGTTGGCTAGCTAAATTGCTAATTCCATCATTGATGACATACTATAGTACAAGTTTTATATTGCATGCTATAATACGATATTCTGGATTTCTTTATGGCACACTACACTTTTTTATGCTTTGTATAATATTATATGGACTACGCATCATTTATTCATTTATTTCAATTCAAAGCTTCACGTTGAAAAAAGTCATAAAATAATTGCAGCGAAGTAAAAAGTAAAAAAAACCAAAAAACTTCCCTCTGAATTTAGTGGAGTACAAGAAGAAAGTGTCTTGAAAAGAAAAGACTCAAGTGACTACAAGTACCTTAAATGTGTACTTCAGTACCTAGTTTTCCCACCAGTGGCAGTCCCTAGTGTACTGCCTTCTGTGAATGAAAAGCTCACCTTCAGGATGGTGATGTTCCACGTGAAGCTCTCCACCGCCTTCTGCAGCTTCCTGCCCTTCAGCCCCTCCTTCACGGCCAAGTCGTGGAGGTTCTCGTGAGATTCCATCGCTGTGAGAGAGACAGAGGAGAACGAGTGTCGAGTCAGTCCTCACGGTTCATATTCATGGTGGTTTTGTAAAATAAAATAAAAAACAGAAGAGCAGCCGTCAGGTGACTGAAGGCTGGGGGAGACGACCATTAGAGCAAAAAGCACCGGCATGTACTGTCAGCATTTCACAGACTCCTCCTGCAGCAGACGGGTCGAGTGTGGAAGTACAGGGAGTCTCTGGCTGTGGAGGAGGATTCCTGTCTAACTACGGTGTGATAACAGATCGCAGTAGCTGCTGTTGCGGGTGTACTGCAAGTCGGGTCTAAAGAGAATAAGTGAACATTTCTACACAAATTAAGGCGCTAAGCTGAGGATTCCATGTAGGAAGTGAAGAAGCTAAACTGTGAAAGCAGCTGCCATCAACATCTTAATCCCTCTCATTATTTTAAGCAATGTGGTTGAAAAGAAAAGGTAGAGGAAGCGTGACGAAATCGATTGAAGTGACAGATGCATCCTGTTTTTCTTGATTCTTCTAGTTGATATCAATCCGTACAGTGTTTATACTAATTCAATCTAAATTCATTTTCACTGTGTTGTCCCCGTCAACTGTGTGCACTCCAAACGAGGTGTTGATGGGATGTCAAGGGACGGGAGCGGGCCAAAACTGGGTAATTGGTTAAGGAAAAAAAAAGAGAGAGACAAGACGAGAAAGCAAAAAGGCATGATAAGTCTAAGGCAGTGAAGAAAACAAAAAGCAGAGCTGAAGGAAGCAGCGAGGCAGGATGAGAGGGACAAGAGAGAGCTCCGGAAACAGAGAGAGAGGCAGAGCAGAGCAGCGCAGCGTAGGCAGACAGACATGACGTTCTTTCACTGTGCATCAGCATCAAGGCATCGAACAGAGGAGGGATGTGTCTCCGAGGAGCTTCCCCCACCTCCTCTCCTCCTCCTCCTCCTCCTCCTCTCCCTTTGCATGACTGAGTCTGACTAAGGACATGTTAAATTTCACGTTGGCTTTACGGTGCAGCAGCAACAGGGCAACCACAACCACAACCCCCCCCCTCCCCCGTAACGCACTTCTGCACTGAAAATTCCTGGTGAGAATGCACACACACACACACACACACACACACACACACACACACACACTTCCGCTCGAAGCGCTGATATCAGCTAGAGAGAGAGTCTGGCCCCCCGGCCCCTGTTGCTGCTGTTGCCATGGAAACATGGCGTGCACACCAGAGGAGCCCCCTTCGTGTGCGACGGCCGTACGAGGAGGTGTCGGGTTGTTCTGGAGCCTCTCGGCTGAGCGTACACGTCTGCCACCGCCGCTCAGCCGTGAATAATATGACCTCCAACAAAGTGACAGAATTTATGGACACGTTTCTCCATCTTTGAACCCCCGACCTCACACCACCGCCCCTAACACACACACACACACACACACACACACACACACACACACACACACACACTTTGTTTTTCCATTTCCTGTGTTCTATTCGACACGTAAAATTAAATCATCTCTGTATTTTCAGTTGGCTATTCTGTAACTACAGCGTTAATGCTGCTGCTGTGAACATAACTGTGCTGAAGAAGGTGCACAGCTTCCTCTATCTCACACACACATGCACACACACACACACAAACAGTTAACTCACACTGCAGGTTGCCTAGCAACATTTTATGGAGTCTGGCAGCAGGCGAGAAAGGGGGAAGCTCGTTCTCGGCGAGGCATCTCTCGGAGGCAACGCTGCAAGACGACAACTGTACAATAAGAGACTGACGCTCACAGCATGTTACAGTGTGGAGCGGCGGCTCAGAGGACGACGACCTGAATTACTCGTTTGATTAATAATTGATTATTCTTTTCAACAAGAGATGATTGTATGTGATCATACTATAGGATGTCACACACAACACTGAGGAAAAGCTGTAAACTATGATTGATTAATATAACTGACGTCGATGGCTGCATCCTAATTATTTTCAGTATCAATTACTCTGCTGGTTGGTTTCCTGATTAATATGTAATCGCCAAGATGACGACTTCAGATGGCTTGTTCTGTCTGACCAAGAGTCCAAAACACAAAGATATTCAATTTGATTCACAATCATTAAAACTCTGACTTATACAATGCTTCATAATGTGCAATAATGGGACATTACAAGCAGTATTATGGACATAGCCATAGAATATCTTTGAATTAACCATATACACTTATATGTACCAAGATTTAGTATTGTACTTAAATAGCTCTATGCCACCTCTCATACATATCTGTGGGCCTTACCTTTGACCCGTTATCATTTTAACATGGTGTATATTTCAGGCATGCAAATGTCTTTATTTAAGTTGAGGGACACACAAAGTTCAGGTGACTCGAGCTGAAGGGCTCTCAGAGCTCCTCCAGTCACGGACACGCCCTGTGGCGACCGCAGTACACTTCCTGTCACACACTCAGAGGCTTCCCCCGCTTGTATTTGTCTAACAAAACGTGTCACGATGAGAACACAATGCTGTTTTTACTTCTTTTGTGGGCACAAGCCTCTCTGTGTGCACGAGTAAAGACTTAGACTACTTCAAAGTCATGTTTGCGGGCCGGCCGGCAGACCTTTGGGTTCAAGGCCCCATCAGAGAGCAATGCAGTTTTAATTCATCCCGACATGTTAATCACATTTAATGTTTAATTATATTTGAATGACTTTTGAGGATATGTGGGGGCACAAAAGCTCATTTGGACACGCATCGACACCGAACCACAGACGAGCGATTAGTCTACAACGATGAACACTGTCGAGTACTGGTTTATAAAGTCGACCAGTCCACTATTCTGAGTAACCTCTACTTTGTACTGCAACTGCTGCACAACAAATCAGTATAAAAATATAAAGTTCTAACTTCTCTCTCCCTCACATGAGAGAAGCTGGAACCAGGAATGTTTGGCATCGTCGGCTGAATGCCGACTAAAGCAATCGATTATCAAAAATGTCCACAAATGGTCTCTACTCTAACAATAACTATAAAGTATAGCACTAGAGATGCACTGATTGTGGTCTTCTTGGCCTGTCTGGATCGCTCTCTTTACTTTGTTATTGTCATCCATGTGTTACTGTCTGACGTTACCGTGTGTGCTAATCACGCATGTGTAAATGTGGAATCAGAAATATGAGTCTGACCGACTGGTTTCGATCGGGAAAGCTCCCATTAAAGTGTGTTTTAACATATCTAACACAAACATTGGCCCTTTGCTTTGTAGTCTTCAACATGTCGGTGCAGCTCCACACCATCGTGCTGCACTTGACGTTTCAGAACATCTTCTGTGCTGATCCTGTTAGTCTGCAGCAGGTGTGGCCATCCATCTGCCCTGAATGCTAATTGGAAAGTGTCGGGTGACGGAAGAGACATCCCTGTTGGAGCTGCAAACACCCGACTGTGTTCTCCAACACTGCCTTTGTTTGTTTGGTTTTGTGAGGGGAAAGTGGGTCCCGTCTCAGCTGATGTGATAGATTATTCACAACTTTAAGAACTGTTGCTGCTGAAATGCTTGCTGTAAAGGGGGAATTGGGTTTGCACTGACCCAGTTTCTACAGAACAGACGCACACATAACTACACACACACACACACACACACACTGGGGAAAGAATGATGTCAGTCTAGGATGGAAAATAAATCAAAGTTCATCAGTTTGCCATCTGTTGTGTCCTAGTTTGCAGTGGTTGGCAGTTGAGTTGCCTCCAGCTGATTTGAGATAATCATATAGAACGGTGCTTTGAGACCAGAAGCCACACAGAGCTTCCGTGGAGGCTTTTGGGGGGGGGGGGGGGGGGGCGGTTTGGTCTAATTGAACATTTTCACTGCCGTGTTATTCATTTGACTATTGTCTCATGAAAAAGAATGATTCACTCCGACAAGGCATGCATCAATCAGGACAAGGACTCACTGTGCAGCACAGAGGAGAGTTACATCACAACCTGCTGTGATTCCAAACACACAACTCATGTAATGAACCGCCATCGGTCTTCAAACAGAACTTCACCGATAATGAAATGGCATTATGTTAAGATGAGTAATGACGTAGATCTAACCATGTCTGGTCAACCTCTCCTTCAGGTTGAAATACTTTGAATGATTTCAAAAGAGTGACTTATACAAGTCTTATGAAAGAGGAGCAACAGGCAGAACAACAGTTGTCAATGCACATGTGCTCTATGAATCAATCGATGTGTAACGTTAAAAGTGTCGAGCCAACACATTCGCAGATCTGTGAACTGCGGGTGAAGATGCTGTACAGATGAACAGGGTCATTACTGTGCGACTAAAGACACAGCTCACTCTTTTCATGCATTGGCAATATTAAAAATCAAATGCCAACAGTCGAATGTGATCACTGAGCCCAGATGTGAGCAGAGGCTTCGGGGGACCTTTGTGATGCCAGTAAGCTCAACATCACAGCAGGTTTTCCCCCAAAAGCCACTGGCTGGTAATTGTTAAGAGCTGGAAGGTGGTCACACTGAAAACACCAAGGAACAAAATCCCAGCACGAAGCCTTTGATCACCCCATTGGTTAAAAGACACGGTCCTCCTCCGCTCTGATGTGCCACGACAATAGAAATTGAATATTTTATAAGTCCATCCATCTGGAAAGCAATAAAGCTGAGCCGTGGTAATGACGGTCCACTCTCACTTAGCTCCTCCAGCAGGCTTCCTCAATGATTCATTAGCCTTTAATGCTACTTAGATGGAATTCATGGCCAGACAGCGCTGCATTTATACACAGGACATTAATGTCAACATTTTTTATTTCTTCTCATTAAAAGGTTTTACCCATATGTCTGCCACAATCGTTACATTACAGGAGAATAAAGACGGACCTCTGCAACGACGGGATCACGGATAAAACACAGCTGTTCATCTTTTCAGCATATTACGACAATATTTTCCCTCTTGAGATTGTGCATATTCTCACATCCAGCAGAGGTTCCCTGCCGAGCTGCCGATCAAACTGTGCTTCCCGGGAAAAAGCCGAGTGGAGTTACTTGACCACATCCAGTCAATCTGTGACAATAGGCTAGAGAACCAGGACTGCATGAGCACATTACAGACACATATGAGAGTCTTACTAGTATTTAGCATCTGGTGGAGAAGAACTGCCAGCGTCGCTCGCTTTGATGTTGTCCAGTTCACTCATCTCTCTGAACCCGAGACCAAACCTTGTAATGAGAATACAGCACACAGGCTGTGACTGGTGTGAATTGAACGCCTCTGTCTGACCCACAGCTTTTCAAAAGGGAAGCAGCGACTGGATCGCGCACTTGAATATGATTCAAATGGTAATTCCGCATATGCAAATGGGGAAAAGTATAATCAGGCCAATCAAATTTCCTATTGAGTGATCTGCGTTGCGTGGCTTCAGAGAGGCCGTCGAGCCGTCGGGCAAGCTTTCAGTAGGCGAGCGGTGTCAGGAAGCAGCCTTTCATCGTTGTTCTCCGGCCATCTGACCATCCCTTACCTGCTTTTTGGGTTTGCAGAATTCTCTCGTACACCCCGTCGTAGCTCTCCAGCAGAGTCTTGCTGCTTTGGATCACCTGGAAGGAGAGAAAATATCTCGTTTATATTTGGCTCTATTTTCCACATCAGAAAAGCTGGCATCCCACAATAAACAGGAGGCGTTCTCTGTCTGGTGGCCGGGTATTTCTATCTAGGGAGGGCTCCTAAAAACAAGCTGTTATTACAGGCACGTCGGTGGGCGTGGGCGCTGAAGAGCATTTTTGAAAGCCAGAAATAGAGGGAAGGAGACACGAGCAATTAGAGGGTTTATTAAAAGTGTTCTGTTTTTTTTTCTCTCCCTCAAACAGGAACAGTGTCTCGTCCTCCGGAGATATACGCTTTAGTCCTGGTACACGCTTTTAAAAACGTCTCTTTAAAGAAGGCAAGGGATCAAGGTCATGTGACTATGATGAGAGTCAAATGTAAACAAGCTGCCGTGTTATCTGTGAAAGAAGCAGAGTTTATCTCCTGAGGTGTTCTGCTCGCCCTTAACTGAGTGCACAAACTCTGTTGACCTGCAGGCTGTTAAATGTCTCATCGTGGCCAGACTCAAAGGCTTTGGGAATTCATTTGCATATTTGCAACAAACCACCACAATACAAACGTTTTTTTCCTTACACAAGGACAGCAGCGCCGCGGGTGTTTCACGAGGTTAATGATGCATATGTAGCCGGTCACAGATAGAGGTAAATAAACACAGAGCGAACAAGGCGCTTATCAGAGCATCTGGATCTTTCTCCTTCGATTATCTCAGTAATATCTAAATTGATTCATCTGACATAGATGATGTATGTACCCAGAACGTTGCTCTGCCTTTGATTTAAATGTGTGGGGCCTTTGTGTCCGCAGGATTGCTGTAATTGACTCGTACATTCACTTGTACACTCCCTGTCTGAGTGACTTCAGTGCACCGCGATGTCGTGTCACAAAGCCAGGCCGCACCGCTCTGCTTGCCAAGACGGAGCGGAAGGAAGGAAAAACTGTTTTTATTCAAGCTTTGTTTTTAACAAAGCCACGCTGAAAAAAAAAAAACAGCAGCGATAAACACCATACCCCTGTGATAGATCTCTGGAGCAAGCCAGCTCTGTGGCCGGCCAGCGAGAGGAGAGACAGAGTGGGGGGGGGGGGCAGGAACAGAATGGAGCGAAATTGGAAATACGTCTTTCAGACATACAGGCGAACACACATTTTCACATTTTAACTGGTAACACCCTCATCTTATTCCTGAAAGAAATGTGATTTTGTGAAAAGGTGAAGTCTGGTGATATTTCATATTTTTTCTTATTGACAAATCCCATAAAAAGATCAAAACCAACGATAAAGAGAGTTCTGCCTGTGCATTCAAAGCCTGATGAACCTTAGTCCTCATTGCCGTAGAGCTCCATTTATTATGAAAAACAATAAATGAGCCGTACTGTTGCACTGTGACATGTACCTTCAGTACTATAAACACAGTAGTTTGTTTGGAGTCAAAGCCAGACACACACACGCACACACGCGCACACACACACACACACACACACACACACACACACACACACACACACACACACATTACAGATCTATGTCATTAGTGGGAACCGATAGACTTGAGGCTGAGAGCTACAGTCTGGGTCAGGGTTGGTTTTGGTCTTTTCATTGGATTAGTTGACAGTAAGAAACATGTAGAATAACAATACAGTGTCGTAAGACAACAGTTAATCAGCAACTGAGGCTTTAAACATTGCCTTTTTGGGGGGGGGGGGGGGGGGTGATTACATAGAGTCCATCTGTACCGGGAACAGATACAGTTTCAAATGAATCACCGGGTTACACTGAACGCAGTCACGACTAAGTGATTGTTGCGGCTTTGTGTCAGTCCGCAGCTGCAGTCGCGGCTCTCAGAGCTGTCGCACACACTGTGATTAGTTCCCTGATGGGAGAAGAAATTACCGTCTTGGTGGCAGAGACGGCGTCTCAAATGTATTTAAAGGCACATTATGAGGCGAGTGGGTGGACTCAGGTCCCATCTGCACACTAAAGACCACCTCCTGTAAGTGCTATGTTTAGTTCTATTCCTATCATTATTACCTGTATTTAACAAAGACACAAATGCTCCTTGATTTTTAAAGGGGATGTTATTTTAGCAATGCCTTTATGCACGTAACTAGTAAAGGGGACAGTAATTATAAATAACAAGCTATCGAAGATATGCACACAAATGATAACACATATAACTAGTATTTATGCATAGTTCTAATATATTCAACAGAAAAAACAATATTGGCTTCCTGTTAGACAAAACAATGACTAAAACATGGGCTTTGTATCCCCTCGGTTCAGTGTTTCAGAGATGTGTGCATTCCCAACTCATCTCTATTTACAGATTATTTTTCCCTAAGTTCATTTGTTGTGAACAAAAACTGAAATCAGAGCACATTATGGAAGACCACATGCTGGTATCGTGCCGAGTTTCTCCACTTTTTACTCGGCACACAAATGGGCAGGGACTGAGACCCAGATTCTATTTTTGCCAATTAGGACACGGCGCCTGTATTTCTAATTGGACTGATCCATACATTATTTACATCTCTTTAAGTTTGGCTCTCCTCTTTTCATTGATGCCCCTTGTATTTGTCAGCTCCCCTTCAGCTGTGCACCTTGCTGCTCTCCGTCTCCTCTGGCGCTCTGCTGACGATCAAAGCCGGCAGCTTCACTCCACTTAAGCCCTTGCTCTTAATTTATTCGATTTCGGTCCCCAAACACCCGTCATTTTCTCCTTTCTTCCCTCCAATTCAATTTTCCTGGCCATCTTTCCATCAGGCCCAATTAACTAGCCCTCTACTCCAGAGTCTGACTCCAGCAGCGGGTGGGGGGGGGGTCACCTTAATCCCTCTGAGACGTTTCAGCATCATCCCCCCCTTTTTCAGATGTTCATCTCTGAGTCCCAGGGGATGAGGCGTGCCATAAAGGAAAAGACAACACGGTTGGATGCAGCGAACACTTGCCTCTTTGAGAGTGTGGTCGCTTTACTTGACGGTGCTGTATTTTGAGTCTTGCTAACGTTGACGTACAGTTAACGTTAGCTCTGTAGCGCTCGGCTATGTTTTTGTGAGTGAAGGTCTGTCTGCTGCGGTATATAACGTTAATGATCGTCAGTGATATTCCTGTTGACTATCGTGGTAGCATGGCTCTGTGGTCACGAACCGCATTAGGTGTTAGCCAGGACTTTTGTGTGGTGATTTGTTACTTGGTGGGGCTGTATTTTTTTTAAATAGGTCAATTTGTTTGGTTGTACTGTTCAGTAACAAAAAGTGTTAAAAACCAACAAAAGCAAAAGATTCATGTTGAGATCATGGATCGTGATCCTGCCTGAAAAAAACCTGATATTATATTTTTGCTGTCAGCCAGCTGTGTGACTGATTTCTGCCTCGTGCCTGTAATAATGATGGAAAGTTGACTTGTTCATGGTGTGTTGAGAATCAATGGAACAGAACAGGATGTGTTCAGGGTAATGTGTTGTCTGGGAATAGCCTGTTGCATAACTTGTGAACATTGATTTTATTACCCAACAGAGCTCCAGCCATGTTACCTAACCATCTCTGTATGCCCCCATTCAGTCCAGTAAAGCCGATGTATTGATTTGATGGGAGTCAAAAGCTTGTTGGCTTGCCAAGATTATTTTTATTTGTATTAATGGATGGATGCATAGATAGCAGGAATGTTAGCTGGTTAGCCACAGAGAGTTTTTTGACAGGTTAGGCACGTGTCTCTTTCTGTTGTGTTTTTAGTAATGGTAATGTATTCGATCCAGCTGTTTGCATCACATGCACTTCCAGGTGTTAATATTGGGCTAATAAACTGACTTTCAGACTCCGACTCACCATGTCGTAGGTGGTGACGACTTTCTTGAGGACCTCTGGGAGCAGGCCCTGGGGCTCCAAGTTCGGGTACTGGCCAACGAGGTTGAACAGCAGGAGGGGGCTGTTCTCGGGTCCGGTCAGTCGAGGGGAAAGGGCCAAGATGCACTGCTTCAGGTTAGCCACTGCTGAAAGGCCGCACAGCTCTTTAAAGGACACGATGGCATTCTGCAGAGAGAAGAGAGACATTACAGCTGGGCTTGCACTGGCAATCCAAGCAGAACACATAATACTCACTTGTTAGAGACTTAAAATAATGAAAAAAGGAATTAATTTTCATGTTGCTAAAATCTGGCATTGTTATGCTTTAAACGTACAACCACAGAGCAGTCACAGGAAGTAGCTGAGAACTCACTCATTACATGTGAGAACTTTCATTTTGGCACTTGCTAGCTTCTCACAAACACTCAATCTGTTTGGACTGACATCAGTATCACACGAAAATGGAACAAACACACACACACACACACAAATCCTAACCTTCCTGTGAAAGCCCAAATTTAAACCCTAGATAAACAACCGGAGGTACAAACCGTGACAGGACGGCCAAGATGTGTTATAGTCTCAAGGCCAGTAGCCTATTATCACACAATGACTGCCATATAAACGGGCCTACCAAAATAAATCCTAATACAATGGCTGAAGAAACACAACATGTGAGTGTTGTGATACTCCAGTACAGCATTTCAACTGCAAATTAATATGATCATGAGAAGAAAAAATTACACCGTTTTTATGATCCTTGTGGTGGCAAAGCTTGGTCAATATCGGACAAGGAAAAAAAAGGTTTGGGATGACACTGGATAAGTCTTGATTGGGAGCCATTAAAATGGCAAGTGATTAGATTAACATATGTTAACAGCCTGCTAAAGGCCATGCTCATCATCTGTTGCGGCTGCAGTGATTTTAACATACAAAAATCTACCATTAAAACAGGGATCTCATTACAACATTTCCCAACTTTTTCCCCACCATTTCCTTTGACTATTGCACAACACATCAAATCAAATCGGATTCAGTCGCGCCTGGTGGTTTTGTGTTTCTTTTTCCAGAGTGGGAGCCTTTTTTTAGATGCTCAAGATCCTTTGTAGTTGATCTGGTTTTAATCTGTGCTTGACTTGGGGTTACAATTTCCTCAGTCTACCCTTTCACAGAAAAACATTCCCATGCTGGAGAAGATGGAAGGAAAAAGTCATGACGATATTGTTGGCTCAGTGCTGCACACATCAGAGGACACTGGTGAACAGAATAAGCACTTATTAGGGTTTGATTTAAATAGCTTACCTGCATGTTTTCTCTGAGATCTGTTGCCTCCCTCAGTGGCAGCATGGCTGTTTTGAAGACATCATCCACAGCCTTGATCAATAGTACTCTCATGCTGGCGTACTCTCTACTCCTCTTGCCCTTTCGTACAGACAGTCCCCTTTTGTGTGGTTTGCCGCCTCCTCTTCGATTGGTTATGGCCACATGAACAAACAGCCAGGTGTGTGGCAGAACCTCCCCCGTCAGTGATTGCAGCGGTACATGTCGAAAACCCGGCTGGAGACACTCAAAGGGAATCGTATATTGGCCGATGAATTCATCACCAATGTAGTCATCGTCTAGCACCACAAAGCGCACCATTGCAAGCTCGGGGAGATTTATCTGAAACTCAAAGCTCTCATCAAACAGAGGGTTGTCCCCATTTTGATTGACCGTTTTAGTCCTTTGTTCAGCGCAGTCAGCAGGAATGCCGTGTATTTCTACGTACACATAGGGGTCGACCACGTCTCCTTTGGCACCTGAGCCTTTGGGTTTGGGGAAGTTTTGTCCACTGATGATCTTGATGTGCAAGAGCTGTGGAGAAACACCAGGCACTGAATCTTTAGTGTTGGCGCTGAAATATGACACGTGCTCCCTCATGATGGCCGGACGCAGCACGTAGCCGCAGTTCCCATTCTGACGGAACCAACCGATGTTTAAATCCATCATCAGGCCGGGAGTCTGGTAGTTCATTGCCACGATCTGGCAACCACACTTCCAGAAATCTTGTGGATTCATGTTGCTGGAGTCGATCCGCATGGGGCTAGGGTAAACCCGCGCAAGGTACTTCTTGTTGTAGTTAACAAAGTCACCCGGGAAGTCGCTAGCGCAGCGACTGGCAAAGACCTCGTTGAAAGAGCAAAGCTCCCATTGCTTCTGGCTCTGGAAGGATGCTGGGAAATCTTTGAACTCCACAGACTTGCACAAGGTCACCAGATCAGAGAGGTCCTTCGACAGCTGGAATTTTTTGGGCGCGACAGTCTGTTGCTCCGCAGACTCGATGCTCATCCTTTGAGACATTTCGGCCCCCTCGTCCTCGTCCGTCACCTCGCCTTCTGAAGCAGTGCAGTTGGTGCTCAGTTTCTTACCCTTCAGCAGGATCTTTCCCTTCAGTTCTAAGGGCGAGGGCAGGTAACAGTCCTCAGGTTTTGGAGGATCCATGTGGATCTTGTCTCCGAGGATCTTCTTTAGGTGCTGAAACATGACTCTCTGCTGCTTTAAGGAGCAATGGTTTTCTAAACACAGCAGCAGTGGAAACTCGGATGCAACAAAGGCATATTTGTTGAGGACATCGATGACGCTGCGGAAAATTATCTGCGATGTCATCGTGTGACCAGTGTAAATAACAGGTTCGTTATCAGGCCCGTCCCAAACATCCAGCTCCACACTGCGGCAGCCCATCTTGAGGGCGCGGATATACCCTGTGACATCAGAGGGACCTCTGAACTGATCCTCTATCAGATATGTGTTGTGGGATGCATTGATGTAATAGTGGGACAAGGGCTGGTTCATGTCTTGCCAAACAGTTTTCTGCTCAGGGTCAAATATATGGCACTCTGGAGACATAAGATAGTTGGTGAACCCATCTAGAGAAAGCCAACCCTTAAGCTGGCCCTCTTTAGACGGTTCATATTTCTGAATGACCTCTAAGCTGGTGTCTTCACTGACTTGTGCCATACCCTGCTCTGCCTCCAGAAAGATCATTAAGTCCTTGGTGTCCAGAAATTCTTTGTTGCTGGAGAACTGAACAAAGAGAAAATAAATTTCTGGTCTGGTGCAAAGATCATGAAAGACCTCAATGAACTCATCCTTTGACACATCAGACCCTACTTTGTCCTTGGCTTTGTGAAGCTCTTTGAACTTCAGTTCCATTTTCACATTTTTAAGTCCAGGGTTCAACTTCTTGACTAGCTGCACAGCAGCACATATCGTGATTCGTCTGCTGTTACTACAGTCTGCCTCATCGAAAAGTTCACCGAGCCAAGATGAGCGCATGTTGTTCTGAGTGCTTTCTATCATATTCAAGGTGTGTTTCCCATAGGAGATCAGGTACCTCAGCCCTGTCACCCAAATGTTGGCTACATCTGCAGTGTTTGCCACCAAGTCCAGGGACTCGTAGTTCTCCCCAAAGATGATTGAGAAGGCACAGTCCTCTGATATCTGATCGTAGGTTCCGTTAGTCCTAAAAGTGTCCGTGTTTTTGCCCGTCCGCAACTCCTTGATGGATTTCACATCAATTTTGGCCTTTTCTGATTCCTTCTTTGTAGGCTCCCATCTCAAAGACTGCATGTCGGCATCCAGGAGAAAGTAGCGGTGGTAGATGCGGGAATTGGATCGCACTTTCTTCAGCTCGGAGCCATCCACCATTGCATTGATGCAGTCGCTCGCACTGCTAATTTTCTTCTCTGTGGGCATGCTGCTGAATGACACAGTCTTCTTTCTTTCTTTACGCTGTCTTGAGCCATCCTGCAGAGAAATGGAACATAGTGCATGAATTAAAAAACATTCTGTAGATACGTAATGATTAGGAAAAACAGAAAATAACATAAAACCGTAAAAGATTGTTTTTATGTTTCAGCTTAAAGGAATATAATTCATATCTCAGTTGTATAGAGGCATGCTTTTCTTGCTTTCTGAAAAGTAAAGAGTTTGAAGACATTTTTTCTCAGTGTTGCTTTTTTTGTTGTTGATTTATTTAGCTAAACAAATCAGTTATTTGCAATCCTTCAACTAACCTCTAGCCCGGTTACCACAACAGTTCCTTTTTTGTAACCCAATTTGTGCACATGGAATAAAATCTGAATACAAAAGACCTTTTTCACCCCAATATCTTAAATGTCTTTACAGTAGGATTCAGGATGAAATATTCTGCCTTCAAGTTTTCAGCATAAAGACAAAGTAGATCTTGAGCTTACGTAACAATACAGCAACAGAACACAACATGCCGTCTGCTCTGATTTACTGTTTGGATGGAATGTTCTTCCTTCCTGGTCTGAATCACAGCAGCAACGTTGCTGGGTGACTTAAGGTACCTGTCACTGTACATTATGGGGGTACAACAGGAAGTCTCCCTCAGGAGAGTATCGCCCACACGAATCCAGTGGTCAACAGCAGCAACATTTCTGACATTTTCAAAGAATCCTGCTCCTTCGCTGCGGCAGGTTCCTTCAGCACAAGGACATCGTTTTGTATTCTGTATTCTTCAAACTCATTTCACAAATTTGGCATCAGCAAAACCCTAACCCTTGTTAATCATTATGTGGCAGCTTAATGGTACCACTTTATACAAAAGCAATGCATCATTTTGTCAACTGTATGATGTTGCCAAGTTAAGATGTTCTAGTAGAAAACCTTGATCTTTCTGTTTTGGGGTTCAATGAAATGCACAAAACCTTCACAGCCTCTTACGTAATCAAAGTGAAACGTGCATACCTCACATACTGAGAGAACCAGCACTGATGAGCATCACTGTGTGACGGAACGATGGGCAAAGTCACAACGTGTGATTCAATAAGAGGTCGTGTATGATTGATGCGTCTATATCTACGTGCCTAAAAATGCATATAGGAGCTTTCACACATCCTCCATGTGACATCTTCCTCCATCACATTCAGCTGACAATACTAATATTAAGAAATGTGACAACTCAGACATAGGTGACAGCTTATTCGTCATCTTTCACAGGACCGGCTTTTTTGAAGCAGCTTCATCACAATCAGTTTTGTTTGGCTCCTGTCTGTCTGCTTATTGTTTCCCCTGTTGTCTCACAACACTACCATGGCTCATCAGTGGCTGTTAGACACACAGGGTTCGGATAGAGAACAGCAAAACTGAATGGACCGAATTAGACGGAAGCCAAGGAAGCTTAAACAAAGTTCCTCCCCAACATGGAAAACATCTCAAATACAATCGAGTGAAATAACAAACACCTTATCAAACAAAAACATGTCAGTGGGCAATTATGAAATTACTGGAGGCAAAATAATATTATGTAATGATTTTCCAAAATTAATTAATCATCATAAATCCCATCAGTGTGTTGGGAGTACACATTTACTCTGATTGGTTGAACCTCTCCATGTCCAGTAAAACGTAGACATAATATTCACATTCTTCTACACAGTCTGCTGCGTAAAGGGAGTTCATCATACTAAACGGGAGCTTAGGACCTAAATGCATGACTGCAAATGATCCTTATGATCTGGTCAAGAATGTGACCCTACAGTCACAGCTTACTGATCGATTGTGTCCGCTTCCTGCTGTATAACCAGGGTCCGCCACGCAAGGCATTCTCCTCAGGATTTCCCCTCCACTTCCTTTACCTAAAACAAGAAAACAATACTGCCCACACCCATCTCTGTCTTAGCATGTGTTATTATACCCTGAGGACGCTTGTTTCTTATGCAACAGTCCTTTTTTTCTGTCTCTGGTGGAAGTCAGATGGAGTGTTTTCTTTTTCAATCAAGTATAGTTTTGTATGTCCTTAAATGGTTTTTCAAAAGACGAGATCTGCAACATTGGCTATTTATAGCTCAAACAGATATAGCTTAATAGGGTACATATTATTCTAGACGTAAATATCACTTATCTCCATTTCTCTGAGTCTAACTATAGATCTTCACAGTGAGCTATGATAAAGATGGTTTTTCGTTCGCCAGGCCAAAGCACAGCACCGGAACAAGCTTTAAAAATAGAGTACCTGAAGAGACCAAGTATAGTCATCAGCAATGCCTGCAACAAGACCTTCACGGTTACTGGGTTTTTATATGACTAGCTGTGAAGGATTTACGGACCTTTACTGGTGATCATCAAGTCACCGGTATAGTGTTATTGATAGTCGGGCTGCAACAAGGGACGTTAAGCATCACTAGTTCTTCTGTAATGTTCCAAGTTAAAAATATGCCCATATAACTGAATTGTTACCATGCACTGCATTCAGCAGCACACTCTTCCATCACATGTACAAATCATTTGCCAGCATCCTACGAAAGAGGACTTCAGTAAAAGGACAAGCCTCTGCATGCACAGTGCATTCTCTCATCACATGTGCAGCTCAGTTAGGACTCACTTTACTTCTTGTTAAACATTCTGCTAGTGTTAGCTAGCTAGCGGTTACCATGTAGCTTGAATGAGCATGCTCACTGGAGTTTCAGTGAATCTATTTTTATTCATTCTTTATTGTAAAATATTTTTTATAAATGAATTAATCACTTTGAGTTTGCACAGAGCCTGTTCCCCATTTTTTTACTTGCTAGCTTGCTAATTCACCACATGACATATTTCCCATTGTATGTATTTGACGGATTACCATATATAATTGGCAAATTAAGGAATTATATGTGCTTATGATATATTAAAACATGTGTTTTTATCTAGATGTGACAAGGTTAATACAGTCTAGGTCTATATTTCCATTTTATTCCTGTTATTTCCCATAAAAATCTCATACATTTTCATTTATTCCCCTGGAAAGTGTGCACCTGAAATATTCACAGAATTTTGCGACCCTGATTGTGAGTTAATAAAATGTCACAGAGCAGTGTTTGTTATAAATGTGTGATCTGAAAAGTTCATTTCATGAGCCAGAAACTACAGCAGCAGTAAGTACAGGCGGAGTCACTGGTATTGATCAACACTCTTATTCAATACTCACCTGATGTGTCGCCATCATTTTGTGTTAATAAGTCACTAAAGAGAACACTGCAGTTTTGGTCGTAAGCATCCCAAACACACTGCTGTGCGATGCTGTTACTCATTACTTCTTTGAAACCTGTGAAACTTATTTTTTTATATGTCGGGGGAATCAAGGTTAAAGTCTTTCATATTTGAGAGAAATACTTGCGTAACTGTGGCGCAACAGTGCTCATTATCCATCGCAGAGTGTATTTTTCATTAGTTACGGTATGTTCAGAGAAGAACACTCCCGGTACAAGTCAGTAGAACACACAACAAAAGGACATTGGATGTTTTCAAGGTATTTCATAATAAAGAGATAATAAGGCTTATCCCATGAGGCTCACCCTGATGGGGGATATTATTTTTATGCCTTTACATATTGTTTATATATATGCTCGGTGTTTGAGAGAGTGAAGGAGACAGAGGGTGAGTCAGAGAGACAAACCCAGGAAGAGACAATGAAACAGCAAGTAACACAGAGTCTATCCAACTGCTCACTGATCCCATAGGAATCTGAATCCCCTCATGGACTGAATCCTGCATTTTCTCTGGCTCTGTGAGCAGTTATGAACTGTCTGTACGACAGACAACATGGCAGGGGAACAGTTACTCTCTGTTCAACTGTTCTGTATACATCGCCAACAAAAAGCAATGGGAATCACATTGCAGCATGAGTAAACTTCCAGCTCCACACCAGCAATGGCTTCAGTTCACAATTACCTAAATCTATTCAATGAGAAGAATTTCATCAGAATGCAAATGTGGTACGGGAACCAGACTGGTACAAAGCCTTAAAAACATCTCTTTCAATTCTACTGGCACTAATAGTGTTGCACACTGTTCAACGATCAATTATTCAGGCCGATTTATGCTTTCATGCAACATCTATGTTATAAAACTACCAGTTACATCCTGCACAGAGCAGGAGTGAGTCTTTCAGAGTTATCGTGTCATGTGGCACAAAATAAACACTCAGTCCGGATATCAAGAGTCAGATGCTGAATCATTTTAGAACTCTGGATTAGACCCAAGACTGCATTAAAGTCTCCTCCTCTACCTACCAAACAAGCCGAGGCAACAGCATGGTTAACTAAGAAGCTCATACGTATCCCACAGCTAACAGTGGGGTATGGAGCTTTTTTAGGACGAAGAGTACAAATGGTCAGAGGTTCTTATGCAGCAATCCTTTATAAATGTATTTTAGATTATATGAAATGGCAGCATATTTGAGTGAGTTTAACACTATTAAATCATGATTTGTCAATTTCCACATCAAAGATTCTTTTTTAACATACTGATGGTTGTGTGAATCTGTGGCTTTAATTTAACAATGAGACAAAGACTTAGATGCCTAGATGTTATAGCCAATCCACAAAAGAGGAGTTTGCATTAAAACCCAAATACATAGACATGTACCATTAGAAGTACTGACACTTAACTTGTGTTGGCTGCCTACATGGTTAGGATGGGGCCTCTTTACAGTAACTTCCGAAGTTTGGAATCCTGTCTTATCTCAGTTTAGGATGACATTTAGAATGTTTCCTATCTTTGAAACTTTAAGTTAAGATAGCACCAGCAAGTAGGATGTATATCTGGAATAAGACCCTTGGACGATTCACTCTTTCCTGTGACTGGATTATAATTCAACTTCATCAGTTATTTTCTCTCCATTCAGTATCCAAGGTTCTCATACAGTAGACCATAGTCCACATATGATTATACTTGTGTGTAAATTATGTGTTCAGATATATTAATATATATTAGAGTAACATCATCAGATAACACCGCCT